AGGTATAGATGAACTGTGTAATTCAGCAATGGCAAACTTTTCTCCAGAAGCTGAACAACATAGAGAAGAGTGTTCAGACAAAAATTCCGTTTCTACATCTCGTAGTTTGCTCTTTTTGAGATTCACAGTCCTTGCATCGCTGTATTGTTTCCTAGAGCATTCCGAAAAAGTCTGAGGTTTTCGATTGTGACGTAATCACAGTAACTGATAGTCAAAAATTTTAATGCGGTATTTGTCTTAATTTCGTGCAGAGTCATCTCACACTTTATTGGCAGCGAATTCTTTTTATGTAGTAGCAATTTTAATCTTGTTGTAAATAGTGGCATTTGTTTATCCTTCGAGTCGGAGATATATTGACGCTGCTGCCTCTTGTGTCAAAGCGACTTGTGCGTTGCAGTTTTCTTTTGGCTATGCGCACGTTAACAAATAAAGCATCGATCTCAACCGGTCTCAACTTCTTCAAGAGAAACTAATGGAACGTTTTTCAACCCAGTGAAAGACAAATGCAGTGATTGATGCTTACTAACAACACCAAAATATCATTGATATCTATGTAATGTACCTTGTGTTGACATAACTAACTTTTTTACTCAATTGAGAGTGCGACGGCACTTCCTCAAAATCAAAATCATCAAAAAATGCTTTAGCTAATGAGTAAAGTAATGTTATTACTCGAATATCCACCAAAATCTGTCTATGATATCAAGAGACAATCTGTGACTGAATCAAACATGCGTATGTGCAGCATATCTGCACATGCTTCGTGACATCACCAGTACTAGCTATTAATCAAACAACATATAACTGAATTAAAATTGTAATTTTAACATAATTCCTGGTTATAAAAGAGCGATTTTTCGACGCTTTGCTCACCTTCTAATTCAAATGTGCTATAATAATGTGTAAATTGAATTTCTCTCTAGATAGACTATTCAAATTTTGAATATAATGTATAATATAATATATAAAATTAAGATGTCGGGGCCGAGTTTTAGACAAAAAGTTCACTCCTTAAACTTAAAGTTTTTCGTGTAATCCTACTGTTTGATCGTAGCAAATTAACTTTTGGGAATTAGAAAATATCACAATTTGTTCAGCTTTTTACATTCTATCGAATGACATATAATTATATTGTATGTGAAAAGAGCTATCTCTTTATTTGTTAAGTGACAGTTATATTATCGTGGGTTAGAAATGCTTTCCTTCTAGGTTTAACCATATGTAGATGTCACAGTCAAAATATATAAAGCTGTTTATGCAACACAAGGGGAGGAAAAGTTTTCATGTTCTTGAAGTTATGAAATTTTGTTAAAGGAAGTGTTATCTTAGGGATTTTCGGCTTTATTAATTGTCTTTTTTCTGCTGATTCACATACACACACATTCTCCGAGGAGTAGCGCAAAATCTATTCGAGGTTGTTGATCGCAAGAAACATCACATTGAGAGTTTTCAGATGTCTGTCGCCCATACGCTGTTTGATGACAGACTTTCATTGCTTTTAGCACTATCTGCCGAAGAATTTGATCTCTATCGCTTTTGACGACTGTGGTATACTACCTGATTTCACATATGTTTTATAATGATTTTTTATATGGAATTAATACTTTTTATTGTAATATCAGTTGGAATAAAGACAGGCACGGTGCAAAAACGAAACGTGTCTACATTAACAACGATTTAACTACAATTTAATTACGTTTTTATTTAAACACAAAAAGCTATTATTAATTTGTCGGAATGTACCATTTCGTGGTCGTTAATGTGTAGCGCATACATACACACGCGTATAATTATATATTAGTCATTAATAAATCATAAAAAAGAGCAGAAATAACAACCGGGTTACACACTATAAAATGTCTTGATATTTACAAATAATTGCACTTTTATATTATTTGTATGTTATTAGGAGAAATCATATTGGCATCAGCAGTTTTGTTTTGCTGTTGAGTTGGTGAATGTGCCATTTGTTGAAAAAAATGGTCGATATCATGAAACGTTGGACGATTATAGTCAAATTTATTCCAGCATGAATGAATTAAATGAAATAATCCTTTTGGACACGTTTCTGGTAACGACAAAGTCAAATTCGAAATTGGCGGTGTAAGATCATTATTTAAAATTAAATCAATATTAGATGTAAGCGATGATGAGTTTAATAATTTTAGATTTGTTAGAACTTGTTCATCATCCAATAGAGCATGTGGCCGTTGTTCGGCCATCGTCAATATTTCCCATAATAAGACACCAAACGAGTACACATCCGACTTTGACGAAAAACGATTCTAGAAAAAGAAGAATATAAAGATTATGTCTTCTCTCAAGATAAAATTTCTTACACAACAAATTGTCTCCCAAGCAGACCATCGGATAGGTCTCAATGATTTTTCTTCTTGTTGTGTACCAATTTGTACAGGATAATAATCGTCTTTATAAGGTTCTTTACACATGGCTAAATCTTGTAGTTTTATTGTCAAATTTAAACAAACTAGACAATTTCTTGCTGCCAAATCTCGATGAACAATATGAAATGATTCTAAATAGTTTAATGCTGATGCTATTTGACTTCCGAAATAGTAGACAGTGGAATATAAACTAAAAATAAGAAGTAATGTTATACTTTGTATATACAAACAGAAAAGAACAACTTGACATACTTTGACAGATGTTGATTAACCAATTCTAACTTATTGCGATAATATCGAAGATATTGGTATAAATCAACAGTATCGATATATTCTGTGATTAGAGACACTGGTTCGCTACAGAAACCATATGAATGTAATATATTCAAGTGACATAACGATGTTAAAAGACTAATTTCATTGAAAAATGATACACTAAAATAAGAAGCACATTTTATTTCAAGATTAGAGGAAGAAGAAAATTTCATTGCGTTTAAAATACTGATTAAACAAGTTGAAGTTTATTGCTAATCCCCATCATTTTATCTCCATCATTCTGACTGTCTAGTAGAATGTTACATGGCACCATTATACACATACATACATACCGAGCTTGTATAGATGCAGTTGAATGAAGTCGACGTATAATCACGGGAACAGTTGTATTTTCCGAATGTTGAAGCTGTAATTCACCCTGGCAAACCTTAAAATGAATATTAACAAATAATAGATTAGGTAAAATAGTTGTCGTCAGCTACATTAACTTACCTCTCCTCCGAATTGTCCTGGCCCAAATTTTCGTTTAATTGTAATTGAACTACTTGGAATAAATTGTGCTCGAGCTAAATCAAATCCAAGTAGTCGTTGAGTATAATACTGACTGTTGCCGCAGACACCTTGAATATGTAAAGATTGATCATGAGTCATTGGTACAACCATTTTTGTTGGCGTCGTTGTTTTAGAAGATGAATAACATGATGAACAATAGAGATGTTGATGTGCTTTTGATGTGCCATATGAAGCATAAAGTACGGGCGATGTATAATCGTGTTGACCACCACTAATTGTTGCATAGCCATAGGTAAGAGCGTGATTTTGCTCATGTGTGGTATCTATATCTTCACTTGTCGAAGAGTTTGTTGTCGTAGTGGTAGTAGGATGTGAGAGAGATGGTGATGATATTGGTTGAAAGTAATGATGTTGTGAGGAATGATGTGTCCAACTGGGTGATGTTAAACGTTTTTTAGAAGGTGTAGCCGATTGTGATGTGGTTGTTCGACGAATTAATAATATGATGGCACCAAACATTAATAAAATACTAATAGCTGATAAACAAGCAATAAGATAGACCCAAATATTTGCCAATACTGGACGACTAGAACGTGGTAGAATAGATGATGTTAGTAGTTGATCATGATTAAATGAATTTTTATTTTTAAATAATAGTTCAGTTTCCTCAAATGGCTTTGATAGTGGTCGTTTACGTGTACGATTTATTTTCGATGATATAGATGAACTACTAATTGAAATAACTCGTTCGATATTGCCAACAATAAATGAATCAAATGTTACTTCACTAATCAATAACCAGTTACTATCAAAGTAAAGCTCTAATTGAATACGTGAGCCAACATGATATTTTAAGTCGATCATTACTGGTCGAGCTAAATCAAAATTTTCATCACGTTGATGATGATAGACGAGAGAAGGAGTATTATTATAATCTTGTTCCGAACGACTAAATTTTATTACAGCTGAACGAAATACATAAACACCATTTGTATAATAATTATTAGCATGAATTGTTAAACGACTAAAATTTCGTATATAGTCAAAATTAAACACAATTGATATTGGCTTTTTATCAACATGATTATCACGCCAACCAACCTAGTATTTAATAACGAGACATTAAAATTTAACGTATCAATATAAGATTTTAACTTTCACTTACCCATTTGTATCCACGATTTTCACGATAGTTATCAGCACCAGTCTGGCCATCAGATAATTGACCCAAACCGCCTTTAAATAGAACATGTGAGACCGTTTTGTATAATAACAAAGTAATTATTATTACTATGATTAAAGTTACTTACCCGATAGAAATTTTGTATTTGTATCATAGTATCCATCATAAGTTTCATCTTCTAATAATAAATTTGTTGTTACACCTTGGAACATGCTATAAGAGACGACGCCATCGGTAAATGGACATCCAAATAATTCTAATTGTAAACACATTGATTGACTCTCTGGTATAAGTCGAATACTTGTCGCAATAATGGGAGGATCAAAGGATGTCGTTGTTTGATTTGAATCATGATGATGATGTTTGACTTTTGGTCGATATTTTTTCCATGTTGTATTTAATGTTGAGTGTTTATCACGAGTATATTCAAGACGATAGGATGATGATTGGTAATGTTTAGTTAGTTGACGATTATCATGGAGAAAACGATATTTAATTTCAATTCTTGTTAAATAAGTTAAATTTCCAAGATTAACTTGTAGCCATTCATATGATAATGAAGAGGATATTTCTGATGATGAACACCAACCACCATAGTTTTCTTCGGGATAATTAGAACGCATTCTATAAAATAAACGTAATATCAGTATCTAGAATCAGCTTATTTGAGTTATTAGCAACTCGTAAAGAAATCGTTAAAAATTTGTTCTTGTATAAGATCTCATCAGTCTAATTTTCATTTTTAAACGATTTCGTTTCAAAATTGTACCTTGCAGATTCAGGTACACTTGTTTCATCTAAACTGCTACTCGCCACTAGTGAAGATTCAGCTAACAGGGGTATTTGACATGATGATAGTCCTTCTAAAATAAACAAAATTAGAACAATATTAGAATTAAGACTAAAATATAACTTTAGAGTATGAGACTTACTGAGTTCCATACATTGACTGGTGCACAATGTTTCAAACAGAATCATAATCAACAGAGAAATCTTGCAATAATTCTTCATAACTGAACGAAGTACGTATTTCAGTTTAAATTCAACATCTATAAAACAAAATAACAACAATCAAGTAAATCTTTTCTATTTTACCTATCATGTGTAACAAAAAATGACTTTTTAGCGTATATTTCTTTTTTTTGTTGTTTCTTGTGTGTGTGTTAATATAAAATTAAGGAAAAAAGATTTTTTTTTTATGAGTACATTAAACTCTCTCTCTCTCTCTCTCTCTCTCTTTTCTCTTATTTTCTTCTTCTCCATCTCTTCGTTCAATGGAATTCATATGAGAGGAGGTGAACGTAAAGACTAGAAGAAATATTACGATTGTCAAATTTTGACAGGTGTTATTATTCTATCTATTGGTAATTTATCACTGTCTGTTCTTGATGTGTGAAATTTTCGATTATAACTGTATGATGGAAAACGTACGTACGTAGAAATGGAGAGGAGAAAACATATGAATGATAAAGATCATACATCCGGTATAGCTGTTTGTTCAATGACCATGAGATCTCGAATATTTAAAAGTCACTTAGATACTTATTGTTTATACAATCTTTCTCTTTATATAAATATTTCTTTAAATGATTGAAATGTGTCAAACATTTTTTTATTTTAATCATCCATACTCGATTAACAAGAGTTAATGGGATCATATATATAGAGAGAGAGAGAGTTTTTCTATACTAGTGTTCAATAAATACTGATGACTGATAATAGAATGATGGAGGTGGTGAATGAAATTTTAAACTGACAACAATATAACAGCAATAATAATCGGATCACGTAAATAAAGCTATGCGTATATATGTCTGGATCATGCTGTTTGTCTATATTAAAATCGATTGTTAAACGGATTAATTCAATTGCTATCGCTTTAATAGTCTATTCATCAGCGAACAGAGAAAGACTGTTCCTATAAAAAAAAAAAAAAAATGTTTTTTTCTCCGAGAAATAGTGATATACGACAACTGTATGAAATTTTGTCTAGTTAGGTAATACTCTTTTCAACTTACTCAATATTATAACTAAATTATCTTCCGTTATTCGAATTTAAATGAATATCTATCGAGAATAGCGTAACTGTATTATGTGGATATAATCATTTTTGACTAGTAAAGATGATTGTCAAAAATCATATGGATACATATACATGTATATGATTCTTTTATTAAATCAGTTAAGAACATATATGTATGCATGCTTGCTTGTATTCTTCTTCTTTTTTTTTTTTTTTTTTTAAAAATAAATACTCTTGTGTTGAAGTTACGTCTCATTTGACTCTTTCTCTCTCCTCTGATAAATGATTGTATGTATATGCTACACATACTCATAAAAGATTAGATCTAGCACACATGTATGTATACAGAGTGCGGTAGATGACAAGTACACAGAGAAAAGTATTATTTGAACTATGAACATTCTTCGATAATGTACGCTTTCAAAATATAACAAAAACAACGAGTATATCAGAAAAATGATCCGTATTATACAATGATGACCCTCACTATAGCCTATTAGTCCATATGTCGATGATTTTATATTCATATTTTTCTTATAGAGTAAAATTAAAATGTATTGTAAAAAAAACTAGAATAAATTAAAATTTACACATATGTTATGAGTTGAGTTGTTAATTCTTTAGAATGATATTAATGTTTGTTGAGAAGATAAAACTATTATTGGAATGATAAGTATATTATTAGCACATAGATACGAAATAAGAATGATAGTAAAGAGTTGAAATGAAAACAGCAAGGATTTTGTCGGATATTAGAGATAAAATGTGAAATTGATTTGTGGTAATTTATATTTAGTTACATTGTTTTGTACAATTCAACAAGAAACAGCTAAATATAGTAGAACAACAATTACCAAACTGGCATGGAATAGATACAATCGTGGTGAAGTGAGATTAAAAAAAACAGACATTTTTTTCACCGATTAACTTAAACGGTAAAACTGTTTCAGATTTATTTTAGGAAAAAAGCAGGCGAAGAGAGAGTACAATATGTTTTACTGTACTCACATTGCCACAGTACAATCGTGGTCAATCGATTGTCGTTACCGTGTACTATTATCAAATGTATAAAAATTAAAAGCTTTTTTTTTAGTGAAAGTGTCGTCAGTGTTATAGTCTAAAACCAATATTTGTTAAAATACCTCTATCTCTCTTTCTATTTTTACGAATTTAAAGTGGTACTCATCATATTGATGAATCTTTACCAATGTTCATAGGTTTTTCATTTTTTCCTTATACTAATGAGATCTGTTCAATGTTGATTGACTGTGAACTATGTCAAGAATTATTCTTTCTCTATTGTACATATGATAATTCAAAGTCAAGATGCTTTTTTTTTTCAAGAATTATGAAGGTCGTCAATCAAAAAAACTGAACTGAACAATCAACAATATAGTTATTGGAAAGGAAACACTTCAATATATCATGAGCAAATGATCTCTAATTTTCAATATTCAATATAATTTCCGTACTTTTTGTTTGATATATCCACATAGAATTGCTAGTATCGCCGACATTATCCTTGAATGGATGTGTGTGCGTTTCACAAGTGTAATAAGAAATGAATGAATGATCGATTGTTCTTGTCACAGCGCAACTTTAATCAATGTGCTGCTGATGTTAAAGATGAAAAAATAATAATTGAACCGTTAACGAAAAAGAAGTTCATCTTAATCATCACTTCTGTATACATTTTGACCTTTCACAACAGTATAGTTATCGAATCAAGGATAAGAACAATTATAGATTAACATGAAAAAAAAACACTAATAACGGATTTATGTGAGACAATTGTCGATAGGACTGGGATTTACACGATCTAATTGAAAAATATTACCGAATTTTTTCATATACAAATATTCAATCAAATTTCAGTGACTGTTAGAAATAATCTGACATCAAATTTACTCAATAACGATCTGCATTCACTGCATTTGTTTATCTCAAATTTGTTCTAGCCCTTTACCTACCAAGGGGTCACCCATGATCCACTCGTAGAATTGTTATAAAAAGGTAATGAAGCACCAAAAAGTGATGGAAAATCTTCTTTTATCAATCGATAGCTTATGGATTTATTTTACTCTCAAAAGCAATTCATTTTTTATCACATGTTTCATTATCTTTTTATAACAATTCTATGAATCGGTCATGAGTGATCCCTTGGTAGGTAAAGGTCTAGCATACCTAACCATTAGTAATAGTAAGAATCTAATGAATAAATTCTTAGCATGGGTAGTTCTGATTCTGTTTTTTTGCTTTCATCTGTCTATATGAGAAGTGCCCGTTGCTTGACCACAAAGTGTCAACGCCTATTTTTTTTTTAAAAAATAGGCGTTATAAAATTTAGGAAACAATTATCTAACTACGTAACAAAAGAGCAAGTTGTACATGCATATTATTTTCTTTTTTTTTTCATATATTTTTAGCACGTAAACTCCATTATACTCAATATAGATTGAAATATGATTCTGTCAATTTTCTTTTTTTCTTCTTGCTTATAGTCTTAACTTATTTGTCGACGTAATTTAAACATCATTAGTTATATCCTATATTATACAATTCATAATAAATTAAATTTATGGTTTTCATAAATATGGTGGTCAGACTTTCACTATACTGATGAAAAAAAAGAAAAGAAAAAAGAAAAACGAGATTTTTCATATTGTCTGTCTCTAACCTAACAGAGTTATTGTTGGAATAATTGTACTACAAACATAACATCCTTATTCTTTCGTTTTTTTCTTCTTCTTCTTCTATGATATAGTATGTAGTCTGTGTCCCATGAGAAAAACTCAGTTGCATGACAAACTATAATTCTTATGAGCCGATATTTGGATAGTAGAAATCAGTCACTAGTGACACGTCAATACAAATGTTATACATAATCTGGAGACCGAAACCGACATCATATAAGAAGAAAAAATAAATAATCACAAAGTCATCGTAAATTTAAAATGTTCATTTATATTTATCTCTCTTTTTCTCCATATATTGGAACTAGTTAATGATGCCCGCATGTTTTATATTGATGAAACAAAGATATAAAATGACGTTTATTCTGTAATATATGTTGTGATTTTTTTTTTTCTTCTTCTCTTTGTTCTTTATCGTTAACTTATTATATATTATTTATAATGGGAACAAAACACAACAATGTATAATGAATAAACATTGAACAAATTAATGTCTACACAAATTATTATTGTAAATAATAAATTATTTTTTTTCTTTCTTTTTCTCTTTTCAAATCAGCTATGTAATCGTACGTTTTAGCTCATATTCGATGTTCTAGATCTTTTTCTCTTTCCGGTACACACAACTTTAACTCTAAAGGTATTGCGCATATAAAAGTCGAATAGTACTAGTTTCGTAGAATTTAATAGAAGTTGAGTCTACTTTTAATTAAATTCAACCGCTCTTTCACTTTGATATAGAAAAAAATAGACCAACTATAGTACCAACAACAGTTATCAGGCAAATTTTTGCGTATTATTTCTATTTCTATTACTCATGAAAAAAGTAGACTATTATCTTCTAACATCCATAATAAAACATTCAACTTACATCTTCTTCGAGTTCATATATAGAAATAGCGTTCTTGAGAATAATAGTACCTTCACTTTTGAACATTTATATGTTTTATATTCTTTCTAATTGGAAAATGTTGAAGCTATAACCTTTTCATGACAAAGTTGCGTTAAAAATTACTAAAAAAAAAATGAAATCTTTTCCTTTTTTTATCTCTCTGTTCTACATGACATATGTATAAAATATAAAAAGTACTGAACAACAGAAGAAAAAAGGAAAAAATCCTACTATCATAGATCATATATGTATAGAAAAAATCTATACAATAGATAAGATACTTGTTTAAAACATGATGATAGCACAGAGCAGGATAAGGGGGATACAAAAGAACTATATTAACAATTCATTACAGACAATAGAAATAGAG